CCCCAAAACCCCAAAACCCCAAAACCCCGCACATTTATGTTGAGTAGAATTTAGTGCAATGAAATAATAATTAAATGAACTAATGAAAGGTTATTTAATTAATACCTAATAGTTAACGTGTTATTTTGAATCAAAGATCAAGTTTATCATAGTTTAAATTTTTAAATATGTTGACAAGATAGCTACTGCTAGCGTCACTCTTGGTGATCTAAGTTTTTACAATTCAAGTAGAAGTGACTCTGGATTACATTAAGACCCTCATTAAAAGAGATACCAGACTTTTTGAGAGATTGGTAGCTGGCCAATGGAGAGCAAGCAATAGTACCTATAAGCTGGAGACTAGCATTTCTCAAATGACCATCAGGTAAAACACAGAATTAAACGGAGTTGATTTTATAATCCCTGCAGCACTTGTTGATGAAGATAACAGAGCAGAGCTCAACTGGATACTTACTGGATCTATAAATTCTACTGTTGGTTATGGAATCTACCCCAGTTTTTGTTTATCATACTCCAACATTGAGATTGTTAAGCCTTTAGATGGTATTGCTGAGGTAGTTGAAGAGTTGGATGCGATTCTTGAAAAGCTTCAGGATACACTATTCAGTACTTGGGATGTTAGAGTTTGGGAGTAGATTCACCCAGCTGTGAAAGCTGCAAGATTTTACTATTGGATAGGAATGTCTATGTCTGGAAAGGTTGAAGTCAGAGGTAATGATCTGATTGTTTTACATATGAACCCAGAGTACTATTTCAACCAAACTAAGAATGAAATTCCCATTCCAGAGGCTAAGACCAGAAAGGACTTTAGAATAGTCATTGATCCACAGACTATTGATTACAATCTTAAATCCTAGATCTAAAATAGATAACCATAAAGATTTAGACCAGTTTGGACTAAGAACGCTACTGATTTCAACAAAGTGATGGATTTGATCACTGCCTCGTATCTTAAGCAAATCATCCCTAATCTAGTTAAAGAAGTAGGTGAGTCCGCTCCCCTTGACCTCAATATCAATGCTTACCTATTAAATGAAGCAGATAAAAAATATATCAACAATGGCGAGAATTCATTCACTATAAAGGATAATGAGATTGATCTACTCTCCACTTTCTCTCTTGAGATAATCGCGAGAGTTGCAGATCCAAAATACGGTAATGTTTGGAAGCTTATTAGAGGTGGCTATGCTAAAGCCCATGTTGGTCTAGCACTCAAGCAAGTTAGTCCCACTAAATTGAATCTCAAATTCAGTGGGGAGCTTGTAAATGCAATGCTTACTAATTTTGAAGAAAAGCTGACAAACGAGGAAGACGAAATAAGTCAAAATATCTAAAGATTCTTAAAGGAACACCCTGAAGGTATTGAGGTTGATATTGCTCCACTTCTGAGTCTGTCATAATGCTTAGGATTCGATAAGAACTCTTTTGAGATTAGCATTGAAGACAATCACATTGTTATTAGCTTTAACAGAGATTAAGTTGACAAAGTCAGAGAATGTGATTTGACACGTAACTTCGTCGCTCAAACCCCCTAATTCGTCAATGATGTTGAGCTCAATAATTATAGATTTGGATAAGATGATTTTAGACTGATAGGGTAGGCTATCGCTTAGTATAAGAAAACCAGAAAGTTAAAGATTGATATCCTTAATGAAAAGAGAAAGCCTCAAACTGAGAATTATGATGAAGACAAGACTGAATTGTGAGGATTAATCATTTTTGTTTCATATAATTTGCTTACTTATTATAGTCATCACCGATCTTCAAATGAATTTATTACTATGGGGTTTTGGGGTTTTGGGGTTTTGGGGTTTTGGGGTTTTGGGGTTTTG